GGAACTGGATGAGTTTTAAGATCCTTTGGATGAGTTTTAGGATCCTTTCCAAGCCAAACCATTCCAGGGTGATATTCCCTGTACAGAACACCATCAAGAGGGCACGAGTGACCCAGGGGTGCTTTGGATGATGGGCACATCCCAGCAGGGCTGAGGGATGCAGGGAAGTGCTGCTGGACACCAACCCAGCACCCTGAGCTCCCAGCCCAGGGGATGCAGCTCCTGCATCCAGGAACAGCCCAGGGCAGAGCCATCAGGAGAAGCCCCCCAGCACTGCCCCCTCAGGGCTGCAGGATGAACCTGCTGCTCCAGGGCTCCTCCCAAACCCCCTGAGATCCCATTCCGTGCTCCTGCAGCTTCCAGGTGTGCTCAGTGCTGCTGCAGTTGCAGGCAGGTGCTGATGACAGCCAAATTCTCACATTTTCTGAGCTCCCTCAGCCCCTGCACTGATGAAGAAGCAGAAACTCTTTTATGGTTTGCTTTAACAATCCCTGGTGACTTCCAGGGCACAAGGAGCTACTCCAGGTTTTCCTCAGGATGTTGTTGGCAATTCATCAGCTCCAGCCCAGCCCTGGGCAGGAATTTGGGCTCCCCCAGCAGGAACGTGGCTCTCACCTGCAGCAGGAGTTCCCCAGAATGTATGGACTCCATGAAGCTGTCACCTACTCTCAGGCCTTGCAGCAAAAACCCAGGACTAATATTTGCTCGGTGGGGCTTTACCCACAAGGTGTATTTGATGGAGAGCTCCTGAGCAAGGCTGCTGCCCAAAAAACCCCAAAACAACCCAAAAATGAAGCAGAAACTCTTCCACCTGGGAGAGTTTGGAAGCACAGGATGGGGGTTCAATCAGAATCCCCCCAAAAAGCTCCAGGCAGAGCCGGCACCAGTGGGAACCCACGAGACTCAGGGAGATGCTGGTGCAGGGAAGCACAGCTCCAACCAATCCCTTATTTTTTGGGAATCAGGGATTATTAAACTCTGCACTTTGGGAAAAGGGCTGCCAGGAGCCCCCTCAGGACCCCCAGCCTGCAATGAGGGGCTGGGAGAAGGGGCTGACACCCCCCAAACCCACCCAGCACCAGGGGAATGGAGCAGCTGGAAAAGCAACTCAGCCTGCTGGATCAGATATTTGTGTTCCTGGAGAGAGGGACAGGGCTTGGAGGGCACAGCAGAGTCCCCAGGCAGCTGCCGGTGACAAAACACCTCAGTGCCACCACGCCAAGGACCCTGCTGGCAGCGGGGCTGCTCCTCTTGGCAAGTCCCTGTGGCTTGGTGAGCACAGAATGTGTTGTGTGCTTGGAATCACAGAATTATCGGGGCTGGAAGAGACCTCCAGGACCACCCAGTGCCAAATCCAATGTCTCAAACACTTCCATGGTGATTCACCACCTCCCTGGGCAACTCATTCCAATGCTGACCATTCCTTCAGAGAAAAATTAAATAATTCTACTATTTAATCTGACCCTCCTGGTGCAAGGTGAGGCTGTGCCCTCCCATGCCTTCGCAGAAATCTCAGCACACACCTCTGCCTCCCACCTCGTGACTCTGATGGCATCACAAACCCACACCCGGCATCTTCCAAGCCTCAGGAAATCCGAGTGACAGAGAGTCACAAACAAAATGACGAAGCCATCAAACCACCCGGCTCTTCTGAGGGAAAGCAGCCCCGCAAATGTGTGTTTGCATCACTCACTGCCTAACGAGCTGCTGGCTCACACAAAGAGCCCCTATTCTGTGGCGTGTTCCTGGGAAGCATCCCTCTTTACATCCTGCTCTAATGGGTGATTAGGAACATCAAACATATAGATTGAATCACGTAATTATGCCTTTTAAAAAGGCAGCAATATTTGAGCTCAGCCCAGCGCTGGCTGCCAATCAAACCCAGCAGCAGCAGCGCCTGCCTGAGCTCCTCGCCTCCCACCACAGCTGGGATTATCCCACTTCTCCCTAAACAAACCCAGCCAGCTCCTGTGCACAACACAGCAAGGTCTGGACGTGATTTTTGGGGAGGAGGTTTAGCCAGGAAACAGCAAAACTCCCTGATCATGAAATGGTTTGTGTTGGAAGAGACCTTAAAGATGGTTTCGTTCCAACCTTCTCTCCAACATCCTCCTCCAAACCAGAGCAGCTCTGCTCAGTGCAAAGTCCCAGCTTGTCAGAGCTCCACGTGGAGAAAGATCCCAGATATGAGAAACTGAGTGGAGGGAAAAGGGCTGGAAGTGAAATCAGCCCTGGGATTCAGGAAAGGACCATGGAAAACAGGAGAGAACTGGGATGGGAACCTGGAGAGGAGACACCACCTCACCCACCCAAGGAACATTCCCAAAACGCTCTCCCAACACCCAGCACAAGGTGAGGAAAGCCCAGCTGCCCCCAGGGAACGCTGCTTGCTTGGAGGATTTCCCAAGGAAAGCCTCACCCCAACCAGCCCAGAGAATCCCAGGAGAACCATGTGGGAAAGCTGAAATTCCTGCAGGAAGCACCAACCCTGCCAATCCCACTGGGGAAACTCCTGCTGCACGTGCTGAGCTCCTGGCCAGCTCAGGAGGAACCCAAAGATGCTCTGGGAGCAGGTGCACCTGGGCTCCAGGAGGATCCTTCTCCTTCCCACTGCCTGCTGAGCCGTTCCCCCAGCCCAGGAGAAATCCTACACGGCTTCAGGCCCCAAAACATTAAAGATCCCATCAATCACTCGCTTGTGGGGGTCTCCATGTAATGACCTTTCCATGTTTTCCTCTCCTGTGGCTGTCAGGGATCTATCAGTGTCCCAGGCACACAGGGACATGTCTCTTCCCAAAAATATCAGGAGTTATTGCTCTCCTGGCAAAGCTGAGAGCAGCACGGGGATAATGGGAACAGAGATGTTTGGGAAGCACAGTTTTCCTTCATACCCAGCCTGCCCCATAATTCAGAATTTATGAGACACATCTGCAGGAAAAAATCTCAGGCAGATCCCGGTTTAGAAGGAAAGCAGGAAGCAAAATGGTGATCAGATCAATTTTTAAGGAAATTGGGGATGTTTGGCTACCCTTGGTGTCAGTTCACTCAACAATCCACATCATAGCTGAGAACCACAGAATCCTGGGATCACTGAGGCAGGAAAAGAACTCCAAAATCATCATCCCACGACCAATCCCCACACTGCCAAGAAGAGCAGAGCCCTGAGTGCCACATCCAGGCAATCCCTGAATCCAAAGAAGCATCAGGATCCTGGGATCCAGCCTGCATCCCTCAGGATGTGCTGACATTTGGTTCAGATCCCGTCGGTGAAAAATGCCCCAAATAAAACCTTCACCCTGAAATCCCTGAAAAAAATTCCACACCAAAATTCCAAAAAAAACCCAACCACTCCTCCTACAGTGGTGATCCCCAGCTTTCAGGTTTTGGGATGTTCTGGAAGGTCCAAGCAGATGGAGCTGATGGGAGAATGCCCATGCCACACCTTGATTTTAATTTTAATGGGATGTGTCAGGTCCTGATGGATTCCCTTAAAGCTGCTTGGGAACTCCCTCTGGCACCAGGACAGTTCTGCAGCAATTGCTCAGTTTGGAAACACAGAGCAGAGAGTGACAGCTCAGGAAAGCAAAAACAAAGGAGAAGAAATCTGGAGAAAACTGGGAATTACCCACAGGATTCCAACAGCCACAATGCCCAAGCTCCCTTTAATTCCTTTGGAAGAGCCCCTCAAGTGCAGCACCAACACATCCACACAGATCATTCCTTCCTGCTCTTCCTCCTCAAAACAAAACCAGGAGAGAGCTGAAGCATCCTGAGGAACAGAGCAGGAAGCTTTTCCTCATTTATTGGGAAAACTCCCAAACCAACGGATCCCAAGGTGCTGGATTGGG